CTTTAAACCCAAAAACAACATTATTATCGTCTGTAAAGACACTATGTAATTAAAAAAAAGGGGGGGTGCTGCATGTCTCATACCTACAACTTGCGTACGAGGAGGCAATACCACATCCCCTGCTGAGTACACATGGGTGTCTGCCAACAATAACACATGGCGGTGCCAAAATAAAAAACACTTTATGCCTGGCCACCTTGTTTTTACTCCAGGTTGAGCCGGACCACCCCGGTGCTCGAGTCCACTCGGCATTCCTAGCACTTCAAGTGTTACCCATCAAACCATTACAGGTACTTTGTGGTGAGACGGCTTTTATTTTCCCACAGAGAGCAATGTGTTTTTAGTGGGTGTAAACCAATCATGTTACATGTGACATTTTATATGAGGCGTTCATGTGTGGAAGAAAGGGGAAATACGTCTAAAATGAAAGTTTGTATAGATAGCATGCTATTTCCTGAACGAAAAGACAAAAGCTAAGTCACCTCTGGTTGAAAAAATAATTCACTACCAACTGAGGACAACAGGTCAGGAGGTGATGATAACAAAATCTGATTATTTAACTTTTTCTACTCATTTTTGACTCTTATTTATAAAAGAGACTAAAAAAATATGGGTGCAACAGTAACATAATATTATTTAATCAATATGTTAAGGGAAAATAATACGAGCACAAGTACAATTAGTTTACTTCCTGTTTTGGCAGAGATGTTTGACAGTGGAACGTCGTCCAACTCTCTGTGCAGGAGCATGGACTGAACGGCCACAAAGGTCAAATGCACATTTTCTGAACACTGGCCTGGCTGGCTAACAATTCCAAAAAGGAAAAGATAGCCTGATGCAAACGTTGTGTGAGAGCCAACATCTCCAACATATGGCAATGGTAAGCCATATGCTAAAGTAAAGTAACATAACTAAGAGGGTTTGGGGATCCTCCACCAGAAAATTTTGAGCCTCAAACACTTAATTTCCTGCATCCTGGTATTTATTAATTTATTTATTCACCAATTTGTGTGTGTGCTTTTTTGCAAGTGTGTTTAATTTGTTAAAATAAAAGTCCTCTGGGGGGACAAATGCACACATTTGAAATATTGAGGAGAATGCATGAGTATGTATGGAATATTGATTTTATTAACAACCTGGCTAACTTTGTGTTGCATGGCTTGTGTGTTAGTACACATGACCATATATTGCTGACCCATAACATTATATTAAGATCTATATAATGACCGTTGTTTTCTATCTGTGTTTACTGTCCATTGCACTTCGGCATGTGGGCATGTAATGCTTAGCTGAGTTGTTACTTCATGTTGCTTGCATGACTGTTTGTGTGAACATGCTGATTGTTGTTGCTGTGTTTTTGTATCAAACTGATGTTCTACAGTTTCTTGTTGCTTTGCACGGCTTGTGTGTTGTCTTGACAATTCCTGTTTGCTATTGCTTTTGCTGTCGTTATGGTGACCTGCTGTCTTTGCTCTGTGAATTTTATCATTTTATAGGTTTCAAAACATCCTGCCGAAGGACTGCAGTTGGCTAACACTGGCACATGTACAGAAATGTTGATTAACATGTGTTGTCCTTATAAATAAACAATCAAAACGAAATGACATATAAACATCAGCCATAACTGACTTTCAGGAATTCGATTATGCTGTTGAGGTGTATCGGCTAATTAGAAACTGTGTAAATATGGAGAGTTAAGGATTCGCATACTTTGTTTTTTTTATTTTACAGTTACTAAGTACACTAACTTGTTGTTACCAAGTTGGACCCCCTTTATTTTCTCTTTTTGGGACCATCCTCTGTAAACCCTGGAGATGGTTGTGTGTGAAAATCCCAGTAGATCAGCAGTTTCTGACAGACCAGCCCGGCTGGCACCAACAACCATGCCACCTTTAAAAGTCACTTTTATCACCTTCCTTCCTCATTCTGATGCTCAGTTTGAACTTCAGCAGGTTGTCTTGACCTTGTCTACATGCCTAAATGCAGTGAGTTGCTGCCACACGATTGGCTACTTAGCTATTTGCGTTAATGAGCAGTTGAACAGGTGTACCTAATAAAGTGGCTGGCATTTAATTGTATTTCAGAAAGATTATAGTTGTCCTTTTCTGTAAATATCCAGCTTTAATTGAAGGAGCACAGTGATTATAAGGAGCATCACTGGGAACAAGACTTCTTGATTTAAGGGGAGCCTTGTGGGTTCCCACAGAAGCCATTTTCATTCAGATATCTAAAGGTCCACATACATCAAACTGACTTCCGCGCTTGAGGTGTTACCTATCAAATCAAATCAGCTTTTATTTTCCCACACAGAGCAATGTGTTTTTAACAGGTGTGAACCAAACATGTTACATGTGACAATTCGTTTGAGGTGCTCACGTGTGGGAGAAAGGGGAAATACCTTTAGTTTGTTTATTTTGCATGTTATTTCCTGATCGAAACAAAGAAAGGGTAAGTCACCTCTGTTTGAAAAGACAACAAAACACTACCAATTTAGAACAGCAGGTCAGGAGGGGATGATAACAAAATCTAAAAAATAAAACAACTGTGGACATTGCTGGATACAGTCCATAGAAAAACTGCAGAATTCCATTGGTGGTACCATTCAGATATCTAAAGGCCCAGATACACCAAAGCACCTTCAAAAAACTAGTGGCAATGAAAGCCGACTGCTGCATTGCCTCATGTCGCCTGTGTCTCGACCTAAAAGTTGCACATGAACACATTGCAAAGATCACAGCCGATGGCCAACCAACACATACTGCACCTGTGTGAGAGGAAATAACTCTCTATACCAGCAGATGACGGTAGTATGTTATCATCATTCAAAAAGGGAAACTGGAAGACCCTCTTGATGCTAGTCACAAAATATTTCGGCTTAAGAGCTCAATTGCTAAAGAAAAATAACCTTACCTTACGTAACACGTTTGTTTTGATCTCACACCCTTTTGAATCTAGCTGTTTGTTTACTTTCCTCACTTCTGTTTCTCTAAAGCCCAGTTCACATTACACAATTTTAACCCTGATTTTGCGTTGCGGAGACTATCATAATCTCTTGAGTGTTCATACCTGGCGACGTGTGTTTCTGTCATCGGGAGTCTCGCCAACTGTGTTACGACCTGTGTGTGCATACCACAAGATTTCTCGACCGAGCCCTCGCCGACAGAGCCCCAGATAACGCGGTGACGTCCCCAAACTACGTTTTTTAACTTCGAGATGACACATCGTAAAGGCATGGATATTCTGAATCAGATCTGCCTCCAGGGCCTGGGTCCAAACGCAATGGGCTCCCCGTGATCCTGTGGATGCCGCCATTGTTGTTGTTGCTTGCCAGCTTGTCAGTGTTGCCATATCTTGGGAGAGAAACAAGCAACCAGGGCTATGGAAACAAGCCCAAAAGAAGCGACTGGACCTGGCAACCCTGCGGCTTGTCCTCCTCACATTTCTTCCGCTATCCCGCCTCTCATTGGCTGATGCTCTTTATCAGTCATGTCAGACTTCTCCAGTTTTCTAGCATGCCAGATATCCAGTCCCAATCACAGATGAGGGGGCGACTTGCTCGTAGGCTTGTTCACACATGAGGACTCGTCGTGTCTGAATATCTGCCGACTCACCTACGACACAAGGTGGCTCTCAAGATCCTCTGCGGCGACAAAATCACAGTGAAAATCATGTAATGTGAGCTAGCCTTTATCGTGCACTGTGCTGAATTGCCAATCAGAAGCCCTTTTTAAACAGGAATTTGCAGGAAAGCCCAATCAGTCTTCTTTCAGCATAGGCAGTATAAAAACAAAATTGGGGAGTACCTACTTTTGTTTATCCAGAATGCGCCTTTTTCGGGGCAATGGGGGACGTGATAAAGTAACAAAATGTGTAGCTCAGAGTGTGACGTAAACAGTGATGTGGGAGGGAAGCTGCAGCTGGTCAGTCCTTTAGAAATTCTCTCGTAAGTCTGCCCGTTCTTCACCGTTCCGTCATCTGACGGTTAATGGCCTCTTCATTTGCGAGGACAAGGAAGGCGCCCAATTCCTTGTCTCCCCAGTTGCTCATCTTTACAGTGTCTGTCAGGTTTGTGTTTCCCTCTTGCTACTAGCTGCTCATTCCTGCTATCAGCTGTTTCCTGTTTATCCACCACCAGTGGCTCGCACGTGTGGCGTCATCAACAGCTCCTCCCACAAGTCATCAACAGCCCCTCCCGTTGCGGAAGGCCGCCTCGGTCTTTTCAAACTAAAAGGGTTCTGAAAATATGACTACCCTACGAGGCGGAAAATTGGGCACCTCGGATCAACTCGCCAATCCGGCTCTGTGTGTCTAAACGCTCGCAGCTTGCCAGCAAAACGGCCCAACATTCCTGGAAAATCTGCCAGTGCAAAAGGGGCTAGAGTGACTTATTCACAGAGGGGCTCTGCTGTTGCCACTTCAACACACTGAATTGGCCAAAAATAAAAGCTGACGGGGATTGACAAGGGGCGACAGGGTGGGACGCACCGCACTGACTAGGGCGACAGATGTCCAAGGTTGGCTTGGTGTGCCAGGGTCCTTTAAGTTGAATTAATTTAAGAAGGGACAGTGCAAATTAATATACACATGGTATAAAAATGCCAGAGTGGCCATGGCCCCCCTGCCCCCTCTCGGTGACGCCACTGGACTGAGAGTCAACTATGACTTTTATTATGTACCCAGTAATGTCACAGTAAACTGAAGACTATACAATTCAAAATGGAGCATAGAGGAGATGGTTTAAATAGTTGTAACAGAGCCTCTCTCCCTGGAAATACTTGGGAGCTCGCTGAATGTTATGTAATATTTTCAAGTACTCTTGTCTTATTTGGTGTACACAGTCTATAAGGGATTACCCTGCTCACTCTCCCCTCATAATCTGCTGATGATGACGTTATACTGCAGCTCCAGCGCTCCAGATCTCGCGAGGTTATGGAAAACAATCCAGACGCCCTCTCTCTCGCTCTCGGCTCCCCCCTCCTCCCCAGCCCTCCCTTCCCACGCCCCAGTGCGCTGTGGGATAGTGGCACTATAAAGTATATCCTCTCTCGGAGAAAGATAAGAAGCCCGAGACAGGAGGGGGATGAAGATGGCGGACGCCAAGCAGAAGAGGAATGAGCAGTTAAAGCGATGGCTGGGCTCGGAAACGGACCAGGAGCCTCCTGTTCTGAAAAAGAAGAAGACGAAGGTGAAGTTCGATGATGGCGCCGTGTTTCTGGCCGCCTGCTCGAGCGGCGATACCGAGGAGGTGCTCCGAATGCTTGACCGGGGCGCAGACATCAACTACGCCAATGTAGACGGTCTCACCGCCCTCCACCAGGTTTGTGTTAGCCCGCCGTGTGTGTTCACATCAGTCACTAGCACTGCCAGCATCATGAGACACAAATATGGGTTTGCTGCTAGCGACTGCTTGTCCTGGAACACCTGTCAAATGGAAGCCATTCTCATCCCGTTGTTTACCTACCTAGCCCAGCCGTCCTTTTCGACGCAGAGCAGCGTTATGGATGAACACACTGGCCTCTGTCTCAGCTTTATTATGGGATACCTAAATTCAAAACAGCACTAACTGTGCGTGCAGTCTTTAGACCGCAATCCTTAATAAGCAGCAAAGTTAAAAGGACTACTTTTTGCTCCAGTAAACTAGCCTGAGTCCCTATCCTCAGTCAGCGGGTGCAGTCTAATTGCTGTGCCGCTCCACTTCAGATTGTAACGTTGGGTCATTATATGTTGTAAACTACCTTCAAGCCGAACAACCACTAGTATTTTATGCTTAATTGATACTGTTGAAGAAAGCTAATTTCGGGTGCTACGATCGAGTCAGTGCTGTGATCTCAACCCAAATGTTGTCATTGATCCAGGGCGAAATGAATTCCTCAGCGATGGCTACAACCTGGCTAACCGTAAAAGTGGTGTTGTTGATAAACCCCTCCACCGCGTCTGCGGCTACTCTCTGGAGGAAGCAGAAGCTAGCTAGCGTTGGTTGCTTACAACGTCACTCGATTACAGGCTAATGTTACCCTTTCAAGGCCTCGGCTACACACCATGTTTACGTAATATATACACAGGTGACAGACGGTTGCGGTGTATTAGCTCAAATGTGATAAAATGGTTAATTAATTTAGTTCTGTGCTGGCCGAGCGGAATGTATGCTAACGCTACGTTAGCAGGATAAGCTAGCTCTGGTTAGCTGTTTTGGAGGTTTAGCTAAGGTTAATTCATTCGTTAGCTAGCTTGAGAAGCGACGTCAGCGGGTAACTTTGTGCCCCCAAAAGTGACGTTTGGTGACTTTGGTGTATTGGTTTTTACCAGGAACATATGTGGGGCAAATACTTTGCTATTTGGCCGGATTGTCAGCAGTGCTAAGCTAACTATTTGCCCGCTAACCACGGTAGCTGCGTTGACTAGCCTCTATACTTTGAAAGCTAAATAATGCAAATGGCAGCCTGTTTAGGTTGTCGTCAGTCACTTAGGCCAGGTTTTTACCTCACATACGAACCGTTTTAAACTAAGCAGGGCTACATGTCTGATTTACAAGGCTCTTTAAACACCAGTGAAGGGATTGAAATGTTATGTTAGCCCGTAGGTGCAGTTACAGAAAAGAGAGCGTTGTTGTGGCCAAGGTGGATTCAGTGATGTGCACTGTACATACAGTAGATTTGCTTTAAATTAAACGTCTGCAATTTGGGTTTGAAACAGCTTCATTGTCATTTGTGAATACGTCAGTCTAGTAAAGGATTCACTTGTATTGTCTACTACTCTGTTCATTCTCTGCCACGCTCCAGATGTGACCTCATCTCTCTATCATTTATTGTGTAACAAACAATACCTGGATGATATCAGTTGAATCCTTTGCAGATTGAAACGTTTATGTGATTGCATCTAGTGACATTTGCTACATATGTAATAGGATTATACTGTGATAACACTATCAGATGCTGTACATCAATAACAGACCTATTTTCAGTTTTGAAGACCTATAGAATTGTTTTATTTGTGAGGGTTGTTAAATTTAAAGTGGGACTTTCTGCATTACTGTTTTGTGTTTGTACCTTTAACCTGTGGGTCAACAGGACACTGCAGATCCTTTATAATGAACAAGTCAATACCCTACTTAAGTTATTGCTAGTGGAAACAGGCATTTACACAGTTAAATTGATTGCATCAGCAAGGACACTTTATCCACCTGTTTGTTTGGATATTAAGTGCTTACATTGTATAAAAATTAATGAAATAATGTTTACATTAAATGTTTAATGCTAGCATAGATTCCCAGTGATGTCACCTCATTACTCATGCCCACGGTGAGCTTGTACTAGAAAGTAGTCTGACTTGGCTACATGGCACTATACACTTTCTTTCACCTATTGAAAGTTTTTTAAGCATATTTTCTAAGATGTTGTTAGCGTTATCATAAGATCATGAATTGATTTTGTTAGTGAGGATATTTGCTCTGTGCCCTTATTAATGGCGATGTTAAATCAGCCGTTCTTCATGCTCAGAGTCTGCCATAATGAAATCTGGAATTAGCATGGCCCCCTGTGCAAACTCATTGGGTGGAAACGTTGCCTTTTTTTGGGCTGATGTCCAGGGATGAGCTAGAGTGAGGAAAGAATTTGCAGTGCCGCTCTCCAGACCTAACCATCTCTGGAGACGAGAATCTGCTGTGTGTATGTCTGTGTATGTGTGTGTGTGTGATGTAGGCCAGCATGTGATCCAGGGGTTTTGGGGTCTTATAAAGGAGTTGAAGAAGGTGATGTAGGGATTTCTGTGCTAATCCACAGAATTGCAGCGAGGTCAAGGTGATGACAGTCTCCACAGATGAAGTAAAGACGAGATGGACAGTCATATGATGTCTCTCTTGAGGTCTATGTCATGCTCTCCTTTTTGGTTTTAGCCAATAAACTCCAGACGGATTTTGCGAAACAAGCAAGATTTGCATCTGAAAGAAAATTACATCTCTGACAGTTTAATTTTCTGCAATGAACTGCAAGGCCCTGTTGTGTTGAATGACTGACCTCTGGCTTTGTTGTGAAGTGTGTCATGTAGTTACACGAGGGCTCACTCCACACTGGGTGCAACGATATCACTCCCGACGCTGGTGACCAGTGCAGGGTTATAAATACCACCGCCACAAGTTCTCCTAACTGGGTTTCAGGAGATGATACTAAGTTTGGGTATGACTCAGAGTCTGTCGCTCTGCTTTGTAGTGCAGCCCTGGCATAATCTCACATTTAGGCTAGAGGTTGTGTCTTTCATGTGAGTCACTGGCCTTCTGTCACTTAAAAAATGACCTGTTGCAGAAGGACCTGTAAACATGTTCTCTTCACATGTAGTCTGTATGATGTGATTCATGGTGAAGAGCGTTACAGGCCCCCTTTGCGCATATGGACATTGTTAGTGCGAATTAGCCAATAATAATTTGTGGCATCTCAATTTCTTCTTTGATAGCGAAGAATGTGACTTTGTGTAGATTTTGTGAGGTGAACGACTGAGACGGATTGGCTCAAACAAACGCAGACCGCGTGGATTCAGGTGGACAGTAAAGAGGATGTACGAGACATGGGGGTTCGGCAGACAAGTGGAGATTCCAGATCTCGTCAGCTAAACTCGTCTCAGAGGGTAGCATTCCAAGTCCCGTCGTCCTAGCCCGTGCATTCCTCACATGACAGTCGCTGGAAACCATGGCAAAGAGAGAGCAGAGCAGACATTCCTCAGCTGTCACCTAAACCCCTCCCCTCCAGTCATTCTCTCTCTGCCTTGCCTCTCGCCATACAATGCCAAGGCCCAGCTGACTGTTGCCCACTGAGCTCCATCAAGGCAATTAGTGTGGAGGTAACCAGGGCTTTGTCTCTTCACACAGGAAAATCTCCACGCTGACCCACACCTGAACTTTTTGTCTTTGGCGTTCACGGCCCTTGCTGATCCCCGCGACTGAGGCGACAGGACTCAGCCCAGCTTAGCATGTCAGCGTTGGGTATTACAATGCCTTTGCTCTGTTGACATTACACACCCTCATTATGGCCCTGAAATCCATGAACATTATCTTGCACTGTCTCCATGACAACGACTCAGGGAAGGTTGCTAGTCACTTGTGTTGGTGGATTTGCATGTACAGAGTGGGAGTTGCATAACACACTGAGCAGAGAAAGAGTCTCTGGCAGCGCTCAGCTGTTTTGAAACAAGAATCAATTTCATGAATTTAGTAATGGAACAATTATAGAGCGTGTGGCGGAAGATGGCGAGGTGGCTGTGTTTCTTTTCATCCAGAGCGGCATCAGTCATATTAGCACATTACATAATTGCTGTGGATTTCACTACAGCCCCAACCCCGAGGATTCTCAGCTGTGCCTGAGGCCCGCAGTTGGCCAGCGAGAGGAGCAAAAAAGAAATGCCTTTGACACGTCCCTGTCCTGATAAAGACATCGTGGCATCCTCTTACAGACCCCAAGCCTCCTGTCTTTCTGCCTGAGGGAGAAAATCCCGCCATCTCATGTGGAGAGGCCTCTTGGCGAAGACAAGCAAAGCATCACATTGCATTGCAGATCTTCGCTGTTTCTCTCACCTGTTTTGCTAGCCTATACAACAGGTTAGTGACTGATCGAGGAAAGCTTAATCCACAAAAGTCAGTCAGGGCTGTAGCTGCCTGCATAATAACTCCCAGATCTGATGACTGTGAGATAAAGACTACCTAGGATTACATATTTTGAGGGTGAGATGTAACGCACAGTGCTGTTATCAGCTTTTTAGCAGCCTGTGGGGTTTGTAGGGGTGTGCAGCTTGTGGCCCAGATGACAAAGCAATGTAAATTTAATTAGGAATCCTACAGATATTTGGTACATTCATATAAAGCATTGTAAATCTACCTTTTGATACCATCAGAATCAGCATCCATTGGGTCTTTTGAGTGGTTGTAACAGGATCTTTCTGTCGTTGTGGTTTCAGGCATTTGACGTTGGCCCATTTTAGAAGAAGTCTGCTTTCACATCACTATTCTTGCAAAAAGGTTGCACAAGATTTCCAGGTTCTTTGTTATAGTTGAAGGCCATCTTACAGTAGCAGCCAGTTAGTCACTCATGCATTTCTAAAATAATGCAGAATACATTAAGATGCACCTTAATAATTCATGGACTGGAATCTAGACAGTCTAGATTTTATTGTTCTTTGTCAAGCACGAATAGTTAAGTCTGCTGCCACCCATGAATTTTATTAGCTTCTGTCATGTTTTGGTATTTTGTTGTGGGTAATCTCTAGACATAATTGCAGCTTGTCATATGAGTTATGGTTGTGTATCATTGCTAATGACACATTAGCCAGAAGTCT